ACAATGTACAGTTGCATATTACTTTATCAAGCTAATAAACAAGGCCGAGCCAGCTTAAAAAAAAAAAAAAAAAAAAAAAAAAAAGATCTAAATTGATTATCGATAAACACCTTAAATATTGAATTCTGTGAGAAATTAAGGCTAAAAGAAATATGTTATAGAGAGAGTTTTGAGTGTATAGTACGTATATTACGGACATTATAGCGACTTTCTGATTATACTTCAATTTGATAATTTAGTAATATGAAAATATGCAATATGAATTTTAATAACGAATCAATGGTATAACAACGAGCGAGTTAGTCACTGTGTACGTAAAAAGAATTTTACAAAAAAGAGTCCGTTACCCACTTATGCACGCAGTGTTCACTGCGAAATTTGTGCCTATGTAATTGCATCAATTAACTCTGAACACCAAGAGGGAAAAATATTTAGTATTGAAAAATATCGTGCTATCTATAATTTTAAAATCACTTTGAACAAAACGGTGTTTCAATAATTTATCGCAACCTGTATATTTTGATTCAGAACAGATTAAAAATCAAGGTTTTTGACTTTTATTTAAAATATAAGTGTTCACTTAGGATTCATTTGTCATAGATAAACAATATAATATATCCGACATGTATTTACTGTAATGGCAAAATTTCGTGCTACAATTACTTGAGCCTTTTTAAATTATATAAAATTAAAATAAATTTAAATTGCGAGCATTATGACAAATCTATCAAACATATACAGTATACCACATAACGACTTATACGTAGATGCATTTGTATTTTATACGCTGTTCATTCACTACGAATATTCTCTCGGTGCTCTTTTTGCGTGTACACGTCATTTGTACGACAGATTAGGTCTTCGGATAAACAGTGTTGTCATTAGTACTTGCGAACGTTTCAAATATTTGACCAACTCGTGTCAATCGTGATCTGTTATGCATATACAGATGTAACCGATACGCGTGTTTTGTTGAAGAAGCCATCGTAGCAGCTTATAGATCTGAGGGACAAAGTTTTTAAAAAATGGTTCGAATAGTTGACTCTGTACTAATTGTTGGAATAAATATCTTATTTAGAGTAAAAATAACTTTTTTCTTAATGCACGAATCCTTTTTTATTATTATTTAATTCGGAAATTACCTCATAATGGCTATCTGAGTTTAGAAAGAAAGAAATACTACATAATGATTATCTTAGCATAAAAAGAAAGAAATACCATATTCCCCTCATGCCATAAAGATCTTATTAAATAAATAAAAAAATATAAAAATATAAATATAATTATTGATATGTGTAAAAAGGGATCAATCTTAAATAAATCCATAGTTTCGTTTAACGTATTGTTTGACACTTAGATTTTAACATGTTTGTTAAGCGAGTCAACTAGCGATTTGTCGTAGGAAGACATGGTATTGACTTTCAATTGAGTCATCGTCCGATTCTGCTCGCTAAGTTTGAGTTTTGAAGTAAATATTTTGTAAACATAATTTTGATCTCCGGAGATTCGATTTAAACTGTCGTTGTTATTCCCCGAAGGTGGATTGTTCGGTCGTGTTCCGAAGAACATCGTAGAACATCCTTTGACCTCATCATAACCATATTTTCGCGCGGGTTTGCTGACATCGTGATCTGGCCACATTTTGTAATGTAATTTTTTAGTGCACTCTGCAATTCGATCATACATATATCTGTCCTCGGGAGAACATTTTCCCCACATTGAACTCGCCCCGCGAGAGATCTCTTCGACTCTTGATCTTATTTGTGAGCCGTACTCTACTGCCATCCTCGCGTGGTAATCTTTTCGAAAGATTATATAACTATTTTGATAACGTTTAATTGTACGTTTTGAACGACTGCTAGGAAAAATAAGTTTGTAGAGAGGCAGAAAAAGCTTCGACTCATACTTATTTCTTTCTTCTCTAGTTAAAACAGAGTTTATGACATTATAAAGATATTCTTTGTCAATGTTTTTAAAAATTTGTTTGATCGTGCGAGATCGAGGAGGAGTGTTGTATTGTTCCGTTGGCGAATAAGTTGATGCATCTTTTTCCCGAGATTGAGAATGAGAAGCGTGCGAGTGAATAAATTCTTCTGTTGGCGAGTAGGTTGATGTGCTTTTTTCACAAGATAGAGATTGAAATAAAGGAAAGGAATAATGCTCTCTTTCGAGTTGATAGTATGAAGGTAAATTTGAATCCATTTCACAAAAGAAATTTTTTTTAAAAAAAATGAAATGTCGAAATCGAAGCCTTTTATAATTACGCTACAATAATCATCATAAAACGAGAATCTATTGTGCCGTTTTTCGTATCCTACGAAATTAATTAACTAATACATCATCAAAATTCAATAATTTTCTGTCCTCGGCGCATGTACCACGCATGTGTATCTAATTTTTGTCCATTTAACCTCTATTAAGTATTCTAAAGAGATATTATTTTTGTATACGGGGAAGATTCTAAATAGCATGAATAACGGTGACCGATTTAAAAGAAAACAAGGGGTAAAATAAATAATAATGAATTAAGGTATATGTGTTGTTCCTTTGTTTTTAGAAAAAAAAATCGAATTTTCGAAATTGTAGATCAACTAAAGAAAGCGATCGTAAGATAGATCTAATTAAAATACGTCGATTGAAAGTAATTATGATTATTATAAGCTCGATATACGTTTGATATACAGTACGTCTAAAATGCTTTTGCTTGGTAAAAGAAATAGAGGCTATTAAAGACGAGAGCCATAAACTCACGTATCTTCCTCTTCCACGATTAGATCTTGATTGAACCATTAACTTCCGTTAATGAACGTTAAATTAGCATGTTACGTATATCTCTGAAAAATTGTTCCACAATTTTATTCCCACGAGTCTGTCAGCAAGAAGAAATCAATTTATTCTGTGTCCAAATATTAGATAATTAAATAAGAAATATGTCATCATAACGGCAACGATTTCACAAACCTTATCCCGAAACTATTATCTGAAAACTTAATCAATTATATCCTAAGAGTGTTTCCTAAAGAGACATGTGATGGTCATTCCTGTTTCACTTGATCGCTTACGGTCGGTTACAGCAAATACGTAAATCCTAAAACGATGTTGGTTACTAAGTAACAAATAACTTCCCGCATCATTAAAGAGTTCGAAATAACCAATCATTTACGTGTATCCGGATAACTTCATTGAAAGAATATTACCTAAATTGACTGTAATCCAAATTTAGTGAATAGTGAATAGTGTTTCTAACGATGAAAGGTAAAGGGTAAAAATATCTATCCAGTCATAATTGATTGTCAACCATTAGCTAAGGTAAATGCTTTCTTCAAATTGAATATAAAAAAAAAAAAAAAATAGAGTAAAACGACTCTGACCAATTGTTTTCTCGGTACATGCGGCATAGTGCATCGAAAGGAAACTGATTTAATATAATAATGGATTGTAAAGTAGTAAAATTATATTTCATGCGCACTCGTCGCTGTTTCGCGAACATGGAGACACACCATATACAGTATGTGATTCATATTTCTTTAATTTTTTGTTTTTTTTTTTTTTTGTTTCTGAGAAAACAAGTTATCGAGTAAGCGATTTTGCGGAATAGCTTAGAAATTCGGGTTTTGGTGCATCTTTCTTTCACTCTCTACTCGTGAGATCTTCATTTTGCATTATATACAGTATACAGTATGTACACAATTATAAACTTTATACCAATCAAATTATTGTAAAAAAAAAATTTTTTTTATTGAGCTGGCTCCGCCTTACTTTATTTGGATTAAGCAGAGTGTACAATATTTATGCTAGTGTTACCTATGTTAACCAAGTAAAGTTCGATAGAAAATTCGATTTCACCTCGCAGCTTGTCACCACCTCTTTTGGGAGATAACTGGCCAATGCTGGGCTAGTGCTATACAAAATTTTGAGGATATTAGATGTGTGTATAATGTTTTTAATGTATTTACCTAATTATTTGTTAACCAAATCGATGAATGGATCTTTATATATCTTTCTGTTTTATTGAGCCAGTCACTTTTTATTGGAGTGCTTTATCTAGTGCTCTCTCGATCTTTCTTGTAATGCCCTGCATTACTTTCCACTTGAAAAGGTCTTTGTATCTTGCTTTCCAGATGCTTTGGAGGTATTTGCTGATGTCTTATCTGATTTTCTTTATATATTGCTTCCTGGAGAAGGGATCTAGTATGCATTTTGTTGCTATATTGATTGTTTCTTTTAGAACAGCTCCATTAATGAGACATCTTAGATATTCCAGGATGCATAATAAGCTATTTTTCCTATGTCATTGTAAATGCCTTTCTGTGTCTTTTGTTTTGCTATATTGTTATATTTTTTGAGTAATGTCTTGAATCTATTCTTCAATTTTTTCCTGTTGGTCTCTGTAGAAAAAAGAATAAGTGTTTGTTTCCCATTATTGCATTTAATACATTTATAATCTTTTTATAGAGTAGGAAGATGATTGAAAAGTTTGATTTTATAATAATACTTGGTTCAAAAGCTTAGATTAAACTTTTTCTATTGTCAATATTTTCAGTCAGTTATACAATTGCTTATTCAAGTTGATGGGAGATTTTTCATTTTAGTAGACTAGTGAATATAGCTAATTATCCTATCACTAAATTCATTCTTTGTTTTATTTAAGAGTCTCTATTTTGCTAGATATATTACTCTGATCAACTATTTAGTTATATATTTAATAGGAATCTTAGTTTCTATATATTCTATTGAAGAATTAGTGTATATTGCTAGTTTTTATTGAAAGAATATATGTTATTCTATGCCTAGAAATCATATTATTGTTGAAGTCAGGCAGATCCATTTTTTCTAAAAAATTTTCTTTTATGATAATTTTTAAAGGAAAAGAAAAGGTGAACGAAGAGATGTCTTCTCAAAGAGAACTTCACAGCAAAATGGTCCAGTAGCAACCCAACTACAATAAGAACATCCTCGTAAGAGGTAATACAAACAAGTCATGCAAAGAAACAACAACGCGAGCAGCAAAGGAAAATATCATAAATAAAGAAAAAGCCAAAGAAAACTATCAAAATGAAACCCGTAGGGAAGACTCCAGCACTTCAAACCTATCCCAGAACTTAGCAACACAGACCACCACATTCAATTCAGCAACAGAAACTACCCAGACCACCAACTAGAGTGAGGAAGTTGAAGAAAACATCTCAGTCACCAAAGCCCCAACAACGAATCAACTCAACAATATTCAAACAATAAACAACACACTGATGGCAGAAGAAGCCCTCCAAGGAACAACTAACAAGACATCAAGAGCAGTAAATATAAATGACTCAGACATGAAAATAGAAATAAAAAAAGAAAATCAAGACTCAACTTCACATTGGCAACAATTTGATGACAAGGAAAAACAGAAGTTGGACAGTCGAACCACCAAACCAAGACCTCTCTCTCCTTTTGATAAAACCATTTATTATGACAGAGAGAGAGCCAAGATTGGCATCCCTGCTATAGACCTGCCAGGCAAAACCACAGCTCAGAAAATAACCTTTCTTATCAAGGCTTTGAATTCATCAGAAGAACTCATGACAATTCAAGTAAAAAGAAAAAAAAGACAGAGCACATCATCGCCATTCTAAGTAGCAAACAAGAAACAATCAAGATTTGCAACAATCTATTACCTAATACAGACAACAAACACATGGCCCTCATAGAGTATATAAACCCAATCCTAAAACAGGAAAACAGTATCAGAGTATGGAATATTCCGCTGGACACCAAACTCATAGAAGTACAACAATTCTTCACCAAATATGAAGCGATCAGTAATATCACCATGTCAACCCAATAAATATGGTAAACAGTGATGATCATATATACAAAAAAAGAGGACAAAGATGCCTTAATCGAAAAATGGAGTGTGCCATTCAAAGCTGACTCAGTCAGAGTGTTTGATGCGCAATGGAATATAGATCAAATGAAAGCACGTGGACAAACCGCAGCAAAACTCACTAATTTTTCACCTAACATATTGCCTTTGACCTAAGAAGAATATGTGAACAAACCAAGGCCAAGACCTGTTATATACCAAGAAGAATGTCATATCAAAGGAAAAGATTCGCAGTTATCAGCTTTAGCAACCAGGAAGAATTAGAAGCAACTATCTCACAAGAGTTTCAACTGGTAGATTTCAACTGCACCTGACAATCCATTGAGGCAAAACTGTGCACCATTTGTGACAGTCCAGAGCATTTTCTGAACAGCTGTCCAATCAAAAAAAGAAGAACACAATGGAAGGAATATAATAAGGAACAAGCAAATAAATTTGGCAAACTATATAATAAGTTCAGACCTGCACGCACCACTTCAATTAGAAATCATACAAAAACTCTGTAATATCACTAAATCAAGTCCAGATCTTATGCAGCAGCTGCTAAATATGATCAACATTAATCAAAAAAGACCCAAGAGAACAACTCAATACTTGCCGACATCATGACCATTCTCAAAGAAATCAAGAATGAAATTGAATAGATAAAAGAAAATATCATCGATCTGGATGAAAGGGTATACAATTTAGAAGTTCCAGAAGACAACTTTCCAGATACTATGGAAACAGAAAATGGAGAAGAAGAGTCATCAAACTACAATAGGACCTTCACTCCTCAACCAAGCACAATGTAACATCACAATATTCGAATACAACAACAATAAATTCATGAATTCATAAGCAGGATAGATCAAAACATGTATAAGGCACTTAATTCAATTTCAGAACTGATTCCTAGCGCAACCCCCCCTCAAAA